AGTTACCTGGTCTAGGTCATAAAAAACAAACACTAAAACTGGCAAATTATCCCAGCAAACACCCAAAATGGACAGACATGAGTAATTAAATGGGAATCAATTCAAATGAACATAATAATTAACATCTTCAGGACCATCTTCATTAAGTAGATCAACTGAAGCCAATAATTATTCACATATGCATACTGTTCTTTGGAGAAGCCCATTAATTTTTAAACTTAACGACATACTACATTTTCACAAAATCATTTGCACACAATTTTATTTCGGGTACTAATATGTTAATATGTACATTTGTAAACTAAAATAGCACTAATTTGGATGACTACTGGGTTGTGGCAAACGATATTTGGCCATCTCTATTTCGGCTTCGTAATAACTAAGTTGGTGATACGAAAAGTATTCTGGATTTTTATAGTTTCCACTTTTCGAGGCACCGGATCCCACCGGATCGTTTCCGTGTTTGAAAACAGCATCACTTAAACCGGCTACATCGTCATGAGTTGGGGCGTTTGAGGATAGGGGAGTAGACGACTTCTTTTGGGATTTTTCCGTTTCATAAACTGCAACGGTGTCTAATCTCAACTTACTTGTAGAAAAGCAACGCACTCTACTCAAAAGTCTTATTCCACTTACACCCAAGAGCATTATTATTTCTATATTTTTATTACAGTTGACCGACTCAGAATTTATTAGAGATTATACAATAACCAAAATAAAGATTTTGACAATATTTGACAGTTGACAATGAGGCATATATACAGGGTGTTACACGACCGTTCGAAAAAAAAAAATCGGGTTGTAGAGGGCATCAAAACAAGCACTTTTTCCAAATAAATCGAGGGTCCAACGTGTTTCGTTTGGGAGCCACCCAAGAGTGTTGAAATCTGCATTTCTTCTTTAATTTTTTTCTCAGCAACCATAAGAGTTACAAAGTCGGGTGGCATGTCTTTGAATAGGTTTTTGGGTATGCTCTTTTCCGATTTTGCAATTTTTTTTTCAAAATTCCTACCCCTAAAGGGCGCACCCCTAAACTAGGGTGCAAAAAAAATTCTGATTTCGACGAAATTTGGTATCTGGGGTTTTTTTAACATGAAAATCACGAATCTGAAATTAGTTTTTGAAAATTCGAAAAAAAAAAGTTCCACTGCAATTCTTGGCGGGACAACGAAAATAGAGATAATTCCACGAAATTTGTTGTGTACATACTAAAGGAGTTAAGGAACAAAACTGTCGAACAGTTTTTTAAAATAACTTTTCAAACAAAAGTTATACTCATTTGAATGTTGGTCCTTCGGGTCGCGAAGTGTCCCAAGCCTACTAGTAAGCCATAATCAGGGTTCCCACGACGACGTCTTGCAATGAAATGGCAGAACTCTACTCTAAGACCATAATCCGTTGGATGCAGCTGCTGTACTTTTTGAATGTGGTACGGGTACAGTAGTTGTTCTTTCATCACACGCCATACAGCGACGTGGTTCGTACCAGTTACACGTGATACAGCCCGTGTGCTAGTGGAAGGATTTTCCTCAACTTCTTGTAGGACCTGCTCTTCGAATTCAACATTCCTACCAACTGGCCGTGCCCGTGCGGCATAACTCAGGGATCCTGTTTCTACTAAGCGGCGATGCACCTCAGAAAACACTCTACTACCAGGAAGCCTTCGGTCAGGAAATCTCTCTCCGTACAATCGTCGAGCCTCCAAACAGTTTCCATCAGCCAACCCATACATGTAATGAATGTTTGCCAATTCGAAATTCGAATAGTTTCTATCCATCTCGAATAGAACGGAAGAAAAAGAACGCAACACAAAAAACGACGTAACTGACGTTTTACAATAAGGACGAACCTAATAAGTAAACATTCCATTGTTTTTAGGTAAATTGGAACCACGGACTGACCTTTTCGATTTGTCCTTAAAAGGAGCGTGTTCTTTTGGAAGTTATTTTTCAACCTAAGATTATGAAAATTTTTGATCATAGTGAAAAAGTATCATACGGAAAGTGATTTGACTTTTTCCCCTACCTTATTTAGATAATAAATAATCGATCAGCGCTTTAAAATACCTTGGTAGGTGTTTTAATCGATACATCGAATTTTTTAATCATTTAATGACCGAATTAATTCCAAATAACAAAATATCGACTCAAACCGTTAATCTTTTGTTTTTGCGACATTGTCAACCAACACATGCGAAATTATGGCTTACTAGTAGGCTTGGGACACCGCGACCCGAAGGACCAACATTCAAATGAGTATAACTTTTGTTTGAAAAGTTATTTTAAAAAACTGTTCGACAGTTTTGTTCCTTAACTCGTTTAGTATGTACACAACAAATTTCGTGGAATTATCTCTATTTTCGTTGTCCCGCCAAGAATTGCAGTGGAACTTTTTTTTTCGAATTTTCAAAAACTAATTTCAGATTCGTGATTTTCATGTTAAAAAAAAACCCAGATACCAAATTTCGTCGAAATCAGAATTTTTTTTTGCACCCTAGTTTAGGGGTGCGCCCTTTAGGGGTAGGAATTTTGAAAAAAAAATTGCAAAATCGGAAAGAGCATACCCAAAAACCTATTCAAAGACATGCGACTTTGTAACTCTTATGGTTGCTGAGAAAAAAATTAAAGAAGAAATGCAGATTTCAACACTCTTTGGGGGGTGGCTCCCAAACGAAACACGTTGGACCCTCGGTTTATTTGGAAAAAGTGCTTGTTTTGATGCCCTCTACAACCCGATTTTTTTTTTCGAACGGTCGTGTAACACCCTGTATAAGAGAAGTATATGGATAAACGAGTGGACACGCCTATCGCCAACGTTAGTGGATGGAAATATACTTCTGTCATTAGTTGGGAACTAGGCGCTAATGCGCTTGCCTGTTATTATGTAGTGTTATTTACCAAGAATTTACTCCAGTTTGACATAACGGATTGAGGTTAAATTGTTTGTTTTGTTTATTAGTTATTGAACTTTTGTTTAATTTTAATAGTAAAGAAGCCTTTCGTAGTTATATAAATCAGTATACGTAAGTGATACACAAATCACAATAATTGTAAAGGAATACCTAATGTTTGGCAATTTTAGTGTGTTCATTACTTAGAAATAAAGAAATGCAGGTACTTGTGGGAAAGTGGATTCTTCGGTTTCATGGCACAAGTAAGTTACAATGCAATTATCTGCAATCAATTCATTTATGCCATACCTACTTGTTATTAGATTCCCAAGTGAAAAAAGCAACAAGAATCGGTGACTGCAAGCATGTGAACTATCGGAATTCGATGATGTAAAAACAAGGTTGTGTTCTCGTCATTTTAACCGCTATGACTGCATTGATTTGGATGCACGCAAGCATGATGGGGGCGAAGTTATATGGGGGTCACTTAACACCTAAAAGATTTCCAACTCGACAATGTTAATTTTATTTTAAAATCAGTAAATGTCTTTAATTTAATTGTGTTTCTTTGAACATTGGTAATGTATCACTTTATATTATAGCTAATGCGAACTTATCCAATTTCATGTTATATTCAAGATATAATCCCTATAGGCATATTATTTCAAATTGCAATTTAAGTTTCTAAATCGTTACAAAGTTTACCTTCGAAGTTGAAGGGTGTAACCGTAAACAAACTCCGCTGAGGAAGCTCGAAAGTTCTCAGTGAAAATTCTACAGATTCCAAGCAGAACGATACGGAGTACCTTGAACCAGAACGCACTGGGTGGCACATGAGCGCTGATTTGAGTTGGCAGTGAAATCATTCAAGTAGGCCATTGAGTGCAAGTCTCGAATCCTTGTGTGCCGAAAACAATGTTGAGGGCACAAAAAAGGGAAGATTCAAATTGTCTGATCGGTGAAGATGCTAGTAGGGGAATCGAAGCGATATAGTCAACAGAGGTAAGAAACGCTTCGGCGGCGATTGGTCTTGGGAGGGTGGGCCTCGGCCAGCTAGTATACTTATCTAAAGACATCACAGGATCAGACAATAGTGATAGGAGTTGGCAGGTGGAATGGGGCCAATGTGGTGAATATGAACCTGCATGAAGCGAATAGAAGTCTGGGTGAAGTTTCCGAATGGTGCGTGGTTGTGTTTACATATGGTAATTGCACACAATAATGGTTTAATAAAATTTTAACCCTATTTTCGAGTTATAGGTTATGAAATTTGAAATTGGCGCTACTTAAAAGTAGGCGGAGAAGTAAATATTTACTTGGGGAGTTTGCGCATAAATACCGAGTTGAGGACTAAGGAATAGGGCAGCTCTCTTTTATGGCAAACAATTTGCACATTGCAATCATAGGCGGTTATCCATATACTTCTCTTATATATATGCAATGAGGTGTGGATGGATGTGGTTACTGTAGAATTAGTGGCTAAAATCACGCGGGTGCCCTATGCCCTTGCGTGGAATTATTTTGGATGCGCGTCGTCCGAATTCGAAAACGACCTATTCGTGTGAGTCTCGCAAATCATGTAAAATATGAAGTTTTGTGTTAGGATTTAATAAGTTACAAGAAAACCTGTACGGGAAATGTAATTGAACTAAGGTTATTATTAAAAAATGTTCCTATTATGGCGATCGATTTCAGATCATATCGTCTGGCCCAGTCAACCATTGTTGAGGAGGAGAAGAACTCAATTAGTTATTTGGCATTATATATATGAAGAGCTGGATAAACTTTAGGGCCCTTTATAAATTGTGCTTTTAATATTAGGTACCTGTTCTGAAAATAAAGAAAATGAATAATTTCTGAATGTTTTACAAGAAAATAAAAATTACTAAAAAAAACTAGGGATTAAAATTATCTGTTAATACACAAAAATTAGGAATTAAAATTCAATAAAAACGTGTAAAAAATCTTAAATGGATCGTTTTCATTACGCACACCATATGTATACGATCATAGACAATGGATCGTTAGGTTAGGTTAGCTGTATTATATGTATACGATGAAATAATGTAACCACAGCCATTAATTTGGCATCAGGCATTAGGTATGTCAATTTTCAGGTACCGGTTTCTTTACTTTCATCTTGAGTCTTGACACAATCGTGTAAAAATTATTTAAAAATGTTCTAAATTAACGATAACCTAACTGCCTTTAGGAACCAAGTTTACTTTCCTTCTCCCACTATTTTTCCCTATCTATACGTATTGCATTTATTCAGTTTTAAGTTCTCGTCCGGTTGACTGCGTTAGCTGCACTTCTTAGTTTATCAAACGAAATCAAATTCTGCATTCCGAGGTATGTTTTCCATAAATCACTTTACAAAAGTGACCCTACTGCATTTTAATGCGTTTTAGGGGTAGAAAAATTGTTACTCTAATTTAATTCATGGTATTACTCTATTACTGACTCATTTCATCAGCCCAAGTTAAATATGTTGTTTTGTTTACTTTCCCATATGTGAATCTTGAAAATAAAATATTTAATTGAAAGTGTTCACATGCTTTAACACATAACTATGACTCACTCAAACTTGTACAAGCACCACTTATTCGGTACTTAATTACCCTCCTTGCTAAGTAATGTACTGTTGAATTGCAGACACTGTTCTACGCCTACTTCGTTATTTTTAATATCGATTAGTGCACTGTGCATGGAGTTCACTGTTTCGTGCTTTTTACGTAATTTTTTTTAGATTTTGAAAATGCCACCTAAGAAAGGAGGACAGAATGGCTTCTATTACTTCTTTATCGAATTACGACAAAAACATCCGAATTTATATAGGACCAACGAACAGGCTGCTTCAGCAGCAGGCCCACTATGGAAGGTAACATATTTTCTAGAATTTAATAATAATGATAATGGTTGGTTGATTAAAAATACCCTCAAGTCAGAACAGCTAGATTAACAATCCTAACCTAGAAATGTCATGTCCTCCCCAAATCAAGTAATCTATTGTTTGTGCAAAACAGTCGTACTCAAACAAAGACTGTAATTTATTCTGGTATTAACGGGGCTGTAAGACAAAGGTGGTTCATTTTTAGTCTTGTTATAAGTCGTGTTCGTTTCTCATGATTAGATCGGTATCACTTTCACTTCGATCAGTGGTGGAAGTGAGACCTTAAATCGAACGACGAAAAATAGCTTGACCGTTGCAATAGCTTGGTTATGTTTTTTTAATTTGAGGTTAGGCTTTAATTGTGGGTAGGTACTAGAATTGTGGAGTTTTTATCATTACTTGAAAATTCGCTATAACGTTTTCCCTACGAGAAAATAATAGCGTTTTCCATATTTATAGGTTAACATAAACAAACGATCCTACGCTACTGAACTGAACTACATTTAGTACGTTCACTTTGAAGTAATATTTAAGTGGTGAGGGTGTACTGATTGAAGCAGAAACAAACGCAGTAGGATCATTTGTAGTTAGTAAAATAGATACAATCAGGAGAATTGAACACTACTATTTTACCTCGTATTTTACGTCAAATAGCTTGTCCTGTCTACAGGGTATAGCAATTAAGTATGTATGCTCGCCGACATGCTCGCAAAGGTTTTAAAATGGGGCCATGAAAAAAATTTTCGTGGTCTCTTGTCAACATGAAAATGAAGAATTGAAGATTAGTTTTTTGATTAAAAAAAAACTCAACTGCAATTTTTGGTCAAACAAAAATTGTGAGACTTTCAAGAAATTTCCCTAGTGATCATATTGGATTTTTGTGGAATGAGATAAAGGACAAAAAAAGAAAAATAATGACGAACTTCCTTTTTATCCCTCTCTTGCCCTTTTAATGCAAGGTTCTCTTCTTTTATTTTTTACTCGTAGTGCTAACCAACACGGCTATGATGGCGATGGATTCAAATAAATTTCTTTTTCTGAGCTTTATCTTATTCCTCTTCTTATTCCGTAAAAATCCAATATGGCGCCCATAAGAAATGAGAAATTAGTAGTCAATTTCTTTTTTTTTGTGCGTTTATTTGAAGAGATTTTTTAATAGTATATTGAAAGACAAGTGTTACAATGCGACCTCGAATGCGACCTATTGTAATACGACTATCTTGTGGCACGAGTGGCGACGCGAAGCGTAGCCACGAGTGTCCGCAAGATAGGAGTATTACAATAAAGCATTGTAACACGCGTTTTTCATACTATTTTTTTCTATTTCGGTGCTTTAATTTAATTAAAAAAATCATTATCAGAAACTATAGGGAACATTAGAACTAACATGTTTTATGTTGGGAACGCTTTTTATGCCGTTAAGTTTTAGGTTGGCAGCGTATTAAGACTGACATTTTGAAGTTCAAACATGGAAGTACCCAACGAAGTACCTACTTGTACTAACTAGTAACTGCCAACTTAAAAGATGAGTTACCAAAAAAAAAACGACTATAATCACTGTCTTTGTACAACTGTTTTCGGCCGAAAACAGTTGTACAAAATCATCATTGTGACACCGAAATAGAAAAAATAAATGGAACTTTCTCATTGCAACTTTTTAGCTCCTACGAGCTGGTATAATTAAACTTTAAGTTCGACGTTTCGATTTTTTGGCGCCATCATCGACATTATTTTCTTTAAATACGGATGTACAGGGTGAGTCAACGATTGTGCGGAGTAACTTAATGCTTTGAAGATAAGATTTTTCGATAGAGTCCTTTTGTATTATGATATGATTGAATTTCTCCACATTTTAAAAATATTTGGAATTATACAGGGTGCGCCCAAATGGTACATTTCTTTAAATAGAACCACCTGTATTTGAATGCATTTTTGAATTCTCCCTGTAATTGTAAGTCTTTTTAAAATTAGAACTTATTTCAGATTAAAATATAAAAAGTAGAAAAACCACGATATTTGTTTGTTTTTACTATCAAATTTATTCTCCAGTTTTTATAGACTTAAATGAAGTATTAGAAAAATGAATTAATAAATATGATTTTAGCTTTTAACGAGGCAGATAAAAATTGCCTTTTTTTTGCATAGCCACCTCACTATTATGTAAATTACATTTAACTTATTTAAGATTTGAATATAAAAACCAGAAAAATCATGATATTTCGAAAACTATTACAGATACGTATAAGACATTATTATCAAAAGTTGAAGGTTTTTGGAGGAGCTAAAAGATGACAGAAAAATATACCCGGTGTTCCATTAAAAAAAAGTTATATTTTTTAATATGAAGTTTTGCAACTTTGGAGCTAGAAAAAAGCACCCTGTAAGCTATTTTTTTGAATGTTTTATAGTAGATGTATTTATTTGACTTTTACTTAACCCATGATAAAAGATATAAAACTTGGAATCAAAATTTAAGTAATAATTTTGCCAATATATACTGACGCTTGCAAATGCCCAATTTTTCTTAAAAATCGAATTATCTTTAAAACTACTAGATTTTCAGATATTAACCATATAATAAAAAAGACGTTCAATTACACGTAGAATTCAAAAATGCATTCAAATACAGGGGGTTCTATTTTAAAAAATGTACCATTTGGGCCCCCTACTTTGTGGGCGCACCCTGTATAATTCCAAATATTTTTAAAATGTGGAGAATATTCAACCATATCATAATACAAAAGCACTCTATCGAAAAATCTTATCTTCAAGGCATTAAGTTACTCCTCGCAATCGTTGACTCACCCTGTACAGTATCTTTTTTTAATGCAATGCGTTTTTAGCAGTTCACTGAATACTAGAGTGAAGTATTTTTTGTGGTGTGTTCTACGCATCTGATGAACGTATCAAGAATTGCAGTTGAATTTTTTTGCAATGTTTGAAAACCATATGGCAGGAGCATCATAGACCCTTGGTTTATTTGGCAAAAATGTTTGTTTTGGCCCCCTCTTATCATTTAATATTTTGTCTAATGGTATAGGTTATCATTATTAATAACCTCAATGTAATTACCAGGAAATGGACGCAGAAAAACGACGACCATATGACGAAAAGGCGCGCTTATTAAAAAATAAAGAGAAAGTGAGGTACACCTCCTCGGGACAGAACGTAGAAGTCCTTCAACGCCAACAAGAACAGGAAAGGAGAAAGATACAGGATATGAAAGAAGAGATTGAGAATACGGTACTGGCAGCTCTGGAAGCGAACACTCTTGTTGATAAAGAATTTCATGTAATTCACATCAACTACTTTTGTGTTTGTCATAAGCAGTATTACCCTGCTGAAATTTCAGTGGTTAGATGGAATTTACGATCTGGTGTAAAGGATGATAATGTTTTCCACATGATGTGCAAACCGGGTAAGTACATCGATGACATGTGAGCGTGATATACAACGGTGTGTATTCGTAGCTTCATAGCTATTTCAACTTTGCCATTTGATAAGAAATATTATTGGGTAAATTGGTTACGAAGAATCCCTGGGAAATATTTTCAAGTTCTAAAAATGACCACCAGAGGGCTTAACTGCCATCTTAAATTTTAAAATTGCATTTTCTTTAAATTCCGAATAATAAACTAAACATTTTTTTTCACATTTTTAAAGAGAACCAGTTTATCTACCTATCATTCTCGTAAAAACAAAAACTCAGTTATTTCGAAAACAAAGATGGTGTCAGCCGTTCAATTGTTTTTGCAATAACCTGCTTTAACTTCTTAACCGTTTGAGCGATTGTTAACAAATTTGGTATAATTGAAAAGAGCATTCCTTGGGCAATAAGAATCAACGGACTCGAGCGCCACCAGAAGATTAAAGCCTTGCTTCTGGTCAAGATCGGCGGTTTTAGAACGAGCTCGGAAGTTTGATACAATGGATCGCCAGTTGAAGAAACGGCTTCGTCCAGAATTCGGCGGTCGGTTGCGTCCAGAGAAGCAAATAAAACAATTACGGTACACGGATACGGTAGCGATTGCCCTAACGAGTACGCAAGTAACAAGGCATAAACCTCGGCATAAACTAATTAGCGCTTTAGCGTTAGCTACAGGAAAAGGAAGGCAATACCCCCCTTATAATTAGCGGCAAAAAAATACAGCAAACACCCACCTTTAAAATTTCCGGTACAGTGTTGTAAGTAAGATTTCAAAATGTACGCGAATACAGCTAAAAATGCCAAAAGATCTCCCTAAATCGTGCTGTTACCTTATTACCCAAAAGATGTGGAAATTGAACTCGAATTTCCCAGGGGATCGGCGTATTCGGTTATTTACATTCAAAAATTAAAACTTCTTTATTAATTGTGCGGCCCCATGACGTCCAAAAAATCGGGAAGATGTTTCAAAATCTATATTAATTAAGCGCGCTTCTAATGCCACAAGACCCAATCCAATCAGACGAGGTTCTGCAACTCATTTTATTAGCTACCATTAATTAAAGTTAATCTACCGGATTAGAATTTCCAAATTTGGTAGCCTAGTAATGCCCATTGTTTACTGGAATTTCGGGTCAATTGTAAAACTCGACGCGGGACAAAAAGTGACAGTACACACTTGAACTGTCAAACACAATTTAATGGTTACCTTTATATGTAAATTTTTATTCTTGCACCTTATTTTACATTTATTATACCGTTACCATATATCTTTTTGAATTTAGGAGTCAGTAGGTTTTCTTATAGCTTGTTCTTCAGGGTTTTACACTATCATTTCTACGCCGTACTTGTAAACTAGAATCTGTAAATCAAACTGACATTTATTGTTATACGGTCACAATCTGACATTACCAGGTATATTGATCCTACAATCAAAAAATTTTTTCTTTCAAATGTGCACTTTAATATTGAAATTACCGTAGCTGATTAGCGGAGTACAAAAATAGCGTATATATCACAGGAGTAAAGTGCGTCCTTATACCTCGGACCTGCACCCTCGGGATTAAAACACACACTTTAGTCCCTTGGTGTATAATATACTATTACATATCTCTACATTCTACACGAACAATTTTAAAACTGACCAATGGCAACTGGTTTCCTTATAGACGGCGCTAGAAGTTAAAGTTCTACCTTCTGTTTCCAACTCCTAAAAAAAATTACGGAACAACACTTTTAGTAACGCAGCGCCTCTAGATACTGGGGTGTTCCATGAAGCTCTTCATCTATGTACAGTGTGATCATAAATTCTAGCATGAAAACTGGGTGTTTTGTTATAACGCAGTTGATTTCCACAGGTCGATTCCTTTAGGAATATTAAAATTATGTTAAACAATATTGTTATACGAATACCTAAAAATAATCGGCCAGTACTTTATACAAACCAAAACAATTTAATGTCCTTGGCAAAAGGTAAATTGGAAATATGGAAGCAGATCGCTTCTTGATAGCACAGCTGAACTTCATGCACCGCCCTGGTAAGGTCAGCTTCTTGTTGAATGGAAATTTTAGTATGATACATATACTGAAAAAACAGCACTCGTTCATCAGTAATAGTTTCTATTATTATTATTATCAATTTTATAGGATCATTGCCCGTGGGATATTCCGCCGAAGCAATTAAGATATCCGAAGATACTCACAAAATACCTCCACCTTGCTCACCGGAACGTAATATAAAAGATGTCGCTTTTGCACTCGAAAAATTTATAGCAGTAAGTACACAAGTATTTAGCAAATTGAACACATCAACGCTGTTGTGTGACGTCATCAAGTTATTGGTATTAAATTTGCACCAGCGATTCTAATCTAAATTACAGCCAAACTGAACCAACTTTATTAACAAATTAAGAGCAGTGAAATATGTTTAATACGGGAGGTATCCAAACTAAACCAAACTTTCATCTTTTGCAGAATGGTATGCCCAATCGTAATGTACCATTATACGCTTCTGATAAAAATGCTCCTGTTGTTGCTAATGTTATTCAACAGCTCTCTGACGCCTTTGGTATTGTACAGCACTTTTTTGTTCATTGTTTTACTATTTTTCCCATTTTAGGCATACCCGAATATAGAATATTTTCATTGCAACATCTCTTTTTTACATTACGTAATAGCAGTAGTAAGGGAAAAGTGTGGATCGCCTCGAGCCTTGCCCAGACGGAGTTAGAAACTGACAAGTTTGAATTCTTCAGGGAGACTGTGTGTTCTGTAAGATTCGCATCCACAAGTCGAAAAAGAGAGAAATACTTCATTTTTTTGTAGTTTCACGAAAACGTTGACGTTATAAGTCATTGCAGTCAGTCGATAGCTATACGTACCGTGTATACAATTGCAAACAATTGCTGTGCCGATATGGGCATTGATCTAATATCAGGACAACATGTGCCGAAATCTGCGCAAATAAAAAGCACAAGAATGTCTAGTCATGCTAGCAGTATTTCATCATCTAGTAACGGTTCTGTTAGTATCTACTGTTTGTGATTCTATAGAGCTATTTTTACATGATTTATTTATGTTTGCTTACAGTCATGGGAACAACCTTCCAGGCGTCGCCAACCCATGCAGGCGGGATATTTATCTCGAGGCGAAACTGAGCCATCTGAACTGTCCGATACCAGTACCATGATAGATCCAAATGAAAATTACGAAGGCAGCGAGGTAGGGATAACATTTTGCTATTGGGGTGTACCGTGTGTCCTACACCCCTATTCCTCTCGCTTATGCAGGTGCATAAATCATCCCCTGAAACTGATATCCTTTCTATGCTTTCTTGCTTCAAAAGTATTGTATATAACTCGCTATTTAATATCGTTCTGTTTCCAATTCCGTGTCTTTGTTATACTCGAATTTACCCTTTATTAAATTAATAATTCTAATTTGTTCGCAATGGTCGCTAATTTTTTATTATACGTTCTCGTAAATACCTCGGGCCGGGCCCCATGTTGCGACTTCTCGCGGTTTTTTTGTACTTTTGTTTGTGTTTATTTCTATTGTCTACAGTCATGCAACGTTGCTTCCAGTTAATACTTGTATTTGATTGTTGAGATTTGCAAAATAGAAGTCTGCACTTCAACAACACTGCGATAGGTCTAATCACATTTTTGTTTAAGGACGAGTGGCATGTTGCAAAATCCAAAAAGAAGCATTCGCCCATTGAATCAAACAACTCGAGTAGTGATTATACCCAAACCTCCGGGTCAAAGCTTCGACGCCCCGTTGGTTTATGTAAGTTGTCTTAGGTTTTTATTGTTTGATCTACATACCTTTGTACCTTTCAGCGAGCGCTTTAGCAGGTGTATCTAAGCTGTCTTTATCGAGTAAGTTAAATAATATTTTTGCATACAGTGCAATTTTAAAGTAACTTTGTAGATGAGCCTAGAGGACGTGGTCGAGGTATTGCTGCAAATTATTCCAATGCAAAAAAGTAACTCACGCTTATATACTGACTTAGAACTGCAATTGTTGTTCTTTTTTTTATTACACTGGAATACAAAATGTTTCTGGTGCCATTGTTTTTGAATTAAATTTACCATTGATAATTTTTCAATAATCAATGTACACATCTTGTCACTTTCAGTGTTTATGAATTTGTTTGACGTTCATCTTAAATCATTCTTAAGTATTACTTATTGTCTATGTATAATAAATGTACATATTTTTATAGTGACGTTATTTTTCAATATAAAATTGTTTGACATGTTTCTGTTCTTTTATTCTACTGGAGGAAACTCCTCACATTTCTCGGAAAATGGAAAATTTATCCATCCTGTTGAAACCTACAGGTTCCCGCTTTTGTTTGCTATTGTGAGCCATAGATCCTTGTATTTGTATATATGAACAAAGCTAACTGTAATACTTCGCGTTGTGTCCAGAAAATTACCTTCAGATATTCATACAAGACTGACATGTCATGGCCAGAGCAGCTAAAGACTACTCGGTGTGGGATTTGGACTGGCCATCCAATATCCAAACTTATTATGTGAATTTATTGTAATGCTTTAATGATTCGTTTTTTTGTATGTGTGATTTTTTAGAAATTCCAGTGGAACCTGTGATTCGACATTATATAAATTTACTTGAGAACCATCATAATATGCATTCATGCCATTACAGACAACTAATTTTTCTATAAAGTTCAATATTAATTTGTTGGCTGGTTTTTTCCTTGGTCAGTTCCTTTTTTTCCCAGCCTATTGTATATTTGTACACAGTGAACCATTTTCGAAATTTAATCTTGCAATGCGAAGTATTAAATCTCCGTTTTTAAAGCATGTACTTGTTTTATTTGTATTCCTTACTTGATCCTCACTCAGACAAGTAACACATATCTTGTAGCGACTCTTAAAACACAACGTAGTAAGTGGTCCTATTATTTTGTTATTCAGGTTAGGTAGCTTTGTCTAGACGATCATGTGCCATGGGGTCCAGTTAGTTAGGGAGGGAAAGTTTTGAATTTAAATCTTGAGTTGCGCAGTCTCTCGGGGCTGACCTGGGTACGTCACACATTTCAGCGCTCTTGGGAGTATTTACATTTAATTTAACACAAATCTTTTCATCTTGCACTCTGAATCTGTTTGTCGTTGTGCTTTTGCGTGTGTAGGTACTTATGACTTTTCGTATATGACCAATACGCCGACTAGCTTCTCAATACGTTTTACTACCTGTCTGCAATAAAGTAATTACCTACTACTTACCATCCCGCATAAACCCCAACACATTCGAGAAAATGAGAGTTGGGTACACCACACAAATATTTAGTCGATCTGTAGCTAGTTGCATTCAATGGCTAAATCTTTATTTATTTAAAACGTGCACTAATACTGTCAGACCACCACCGAAACAAGCCTCGTTTTTTGTTATGTCAACTTCGAAAGAATAACGTGAAAGGTCATCGGCGATAACACGTGCATATCTTGAAACTAATTAAATTTCATCTTGGCAACAAATGTTCTTATCGCAACGACCAGAATAACCTTTTAATAAAACGCGCAAATACGACCAGATGTTCCCTACCATTTAAAACTTAATTTTACTTTTATAATTACAACGTGATCAATTTAAACAAAACAATTCTTATGCAAAACAATCTTTAACTTCAAATTTAAATAAAAAGAACGAACTCTGTGTTTAATTCAAAACCAGCAACCAAATTTACACGTTTCTAACCTCTAAGGAAGCCAACCCTGGGTGTGACCCATAAAAAGTTACAGTACATCCTCCCCTGAAAATAGCTCTCTATCAGTTAACCAATCAAATGAAATAATAGGGGAAGTGTACGATTGTTCAGAAACCTTCTCCTGACTAATAAAGGTGTGAAACCATAGTACACACAATGTAACATTGAAAGTATATTTGAATTGTGATTACACAACAGTAAAACACGCTACTTACAGCTATTACGGATATTCTTATATACAACACAATAAGCTAAGAAAAAATATTTGTTTTAGCCGACATTTACATCAGTTCATATTGCACTACTACATTAAACAAATTACACCATGTGAGTAAAATCAGGATATTATTCAATCTGTGACTTGATAACACTTGTGATAACGATATAAATAATCACACAAACAATTAATAGTGATCTTTAACAATTTACAACGTAAGTGGTCTACACTAAATCACAACAAATTTAATAAAATACACGCCAGTTTCCCAATAAAATTCAAAAACCTACTCATAATAAAATCTCTTATCAAGAATCTGGTTGACTAATATCGTATAAAATACTTAATAGGAAAAGTAAACACTAGCTCTATAAAGTTTTAATAAGTATTATAGGTAGTTAAAATTGCAAGTATCACAGGCTGATATCCTCGTTTTTTTTTAAAAGAGAACAATATTCTCCCACATATAGTTATCATTTGAGTTTAAACATAATATGTACATCAAAATAAAATCACATAAATACACTATTTTACATTATTTGACTTGCTTTAGTTGCTTTTATAGTTGCACAAATTTGCCACAAAAAATTAGTTCAAAGTCATATCCGAGTGAATTTAAAAATGCAACAACGGTGAAAGCTACATGGTCCTATTTCCTAATTGCCGCATTTCAGTGGTTCTAAGTCTAAACACTTCCACAGTAAGTGGCGGTTTTGGAGCTGTCTCATTTCTCTTAGATTTAGCGTGAATTTGATGGAATGGAATTGAATACAAGATGTAGTCTAGCGTGACAACTAAGGGCGAAGTCGTAAGGAACTTTTGTTGTTGGACTAACGTACGAGACGTGTGCAAACCTTAAATTGCAGTATGAGCTTTTATCGACTAAACGCCTCCTTTACTATCTTTGTTCTTTACACATCTACCTATAACTCTATCATTGTCTTTCATTATCATGTTGCCAAACATAAATTGTGTTTTTAACTGACAACCACCTTGTACTGTCAAATCTTATAGTCTTATTTTTTAACTTTAATTTTATTTTTACAATTGCTGTATTTTTTTTTCGCAAATGTCACTATAATCAGGTTAAGTGGAAGGCTGAACTACGCCTTTTCTGAAATAAAGACATTTATTATTATTATTATTAAATTACTTGTATAATGGCGAGAGAAGCTAAAACTAAGCTCCACTTAAATTTGTCGGTGCATACGGCCATTAGTCTTGTTTTCTATATTTTTTCCAATTAAATCAACTCCATTTATTGAAAATCGTTGCCTAAATCTAATGCAAGCATTGTATAAGGTAATCATAAACATTTTTTTCTATTTCGAAAACAGTTGTACAAAGACAGTGATTATAGTCGTTTTTTTTTGGTAACTCATCTCTTAAGTTGGCAGTTACTAGTTAGTACAAGTAGGTACTTCGTTGGGTACTTCCATGTTTGAACTTCAAAATGTCAGTCTTACTACGCTGCCAACCTAAAACTTAACGGCATAAAAAGTGTTCCCAACATAAAACATGTTAGTTCTAATGTTCCCTATAGTTTCTGATAATGATTTTTTTAATTAAATTAAAGCACCGAAATAGAAAAAATAGTATGAAAAACGCGTGTTACAATGCTTTATTGTAATACTCCTATCTTGCGGACACTCGTGGCTACGCTTCGCGTCGCCACTCGTGCCACAAGATAGTCGTATTACAATAGGTCGCATTGTAACACTTGTCTTTCAATATACTATTGTAGATTTATTTTGAGGTTAGGAACTGTGTCTAATTTGGTATACAGTATTATAAGCCCATACTGCATTTGGAGGTTTGAATGTTCTATAGTATTCATGAAAGTTGATGAGAAAACACTTTAATTACACAAACACATCATCATTTACCCAAAAATTCTTTATCTTTATATACCGATGATAGACAACGATTATCGTCCCATTCCCAAGCAAGACGGTAATCTGTTTGTGCGAAAATGACAAATATGAGTAGTTCATTGAGCATATAGCTAAAATCATAATTATGACCAAGCGCCAACAGAAGCAAATGGATACGACTTTGAACTTATTTCCCCAACTGCTATTCATTATGTAATTACATATTATTTGATTGTATGTAGGGCAATAGATCTTTATTGCTACATAATATCTAATTAAGGCCTTTAAATCATAACTACTAAACGTTTCAATTTTAGCATAGCCTACACGTCGGGTAAATAAATGCTCAGTAACAATGAAATTAGGTTCGCGCCACCGCTAACGTTGCTGAACTTGGACATGTATCTATGATATTCTAAGCAACCTTCTACATGCCTAAATGTACCTATACCTCTACACCTTCTTATTATTGGAACAGCAGTAGGTACAATTGAAACAGCATTGCTATCTTTTACTCGACCACTGACGCCCTCTCTCCGAACTGAGCTGTTCCTGAAGAGTTTTGATGTCCTGCAGCATCTTCTTTTTTTCATCCAACAGTCGACCGACCTCCTCCTGCGCCGAGGTCAGACACGAACGTAAAATGTCTGTTTCCTCCTTTGATCGTCTTAACGTACGATTTTCCTCCGAGACTCGATCGAACGCAAGCAATCGTCTTCGCAGTTCGTCGTTATCGTTTCGTAGCTGCTTACAGGTCTGTTGCACTGCCGCGTTTACCGCCTCTCGTTCATCTGATCCTTAAAGGAAAGAAATTGTGGCTTATACAGACACCGCACTTCAAAGATAAATCAAATTAATTTTGCAGTTTTTCCCTGGTTGCTGCAGTTTGAACATCTAGACTACATTGCTTATTTATAATTGAATTTCTTGCAGCATTTCATTTCCTTTACAGAGTGTGACTGATGTGGGGGCCTTTGCGTAAATCAAGATTGTTGAATAATTGCGCTTAGCATTAAATTAATTAATTTATACTAATATTTTGCCACGATATGTGTCTTTATTTTGTAGTAATGTTAATTAACCGTAATGCTTCTTGCACTGTGTATTTGAGGCGGGTAATAATGAATATTAATATTTAGCCAGGTGACTTGCTTCGAATATGTGATATATTTGATTTTCTTAATCTCGTCTTGAGCGTTGCAGGCAAAAGTGCATAATCCGCCTGACATGCCAGAGATATATTTATATGCACTCGTTTTTATGTGTCTTACCACTTTGCTGATATTACCAGTTGATTCTTTTAGTTTACCCTTGCCGTGTAGTGATTGAATATACGACTTTTAAAATTCAATTACAATTTTTGTGATGGGCTTGTGTGATGAGTTGGGGGTTTGCTTTGTTTTATGTCGGGGCATCAAATATTTATCGGGTTTGTTCTTGTATTGCCATGACCTTTTGTTCATATTATAATTGATGATGCCTTTATTGAAAACTAACATAATTGGTTATTGAACCAAAATAAAAGTGGCAAACTTCCGCCTCCTGAGTATGGTTGCCACTAAAGCCATTTCAGAACTCACTGGGAATAAGAGTTATTTTCCCAAATTCGATAGGACGCGATTTAGTTCGTTTAGTTAATGGTTTATCTCAGACCTGAACCCGTGATCGCAAGGAGCTTCAAAATGAGGTCCATAGAATTAACCCTTAGACATTGCTTTGTGTTTAGTTTAGGGACAATGTTTATGACTCAATTTTAATTGTAAATGATTTGCACCTGGCTATGGAACTCACTCCTAGAACTTGCCTTTGCTTGACTCGTAGTCCATGGGCCAGTCGACATTACTGTATAATTTGGGGGTACCAAGTTTCCTTTTTACAGTGACTATACAGGTTTATTAGGATGCCAAAAAAAGATGATTACCATCTCAATGCGGTAGCTAATAGAAATGGCGGTCAATCAAAAATGGCGGATGTTTAGTTTTATAAAATCAACTATAACTCTGGAATTATTGATCTAATTTCATTATTCTTTTTTTTTAATGAAAGCTCTTTATATGTGCTATAAATATTGTTATAAGTACTTTTTCGATAAAATCAACTGTTAATTTAAAAAAATGTTTTTTTTATTGGGAGCAATTTCCAAACCTTCCACAATATCACCCATCAACACCGTAGAGAAAGATAAAGATAAAATAGTTTGGAAATGATGAAATTAAACATCAATTAAATCAATAAATCTTCCTTCCAGCTATTGCAGTATGTTTCATGATCGCGTTCGTTATAAAAATCCGCAAAAATGTATTAAAAATTTTTTTTTTTTTTATAACTACCTACTCACAAAACGTCACTATTTAAACGCTCCTTCAGTTACAATATTGCAAAGACGTATAATGAATTACCATCTCATTTAAAACATTTATACGAAAGTCTTTTTAAAAAACGCTTGCGCCTCATACTCCTTGCAAGACAGCATTAAGTTCCATCGTTAACATCATTATTGCTATAATTTTTTTTTTTACATTTTTTTTTAGGTTTTCATTTGTGCCTTCATACTGAATGGTTTTTATTATCATATAGTTTTTTCTTGATAGGTTTTTTTTTATGTCTTGGTCTCTTGTTGTTAATTTCATATGTAGGGGGTTAAGTGGTAGAGCAGACGGAATAACACGGTTTATTCCAGTCTGAACTTCGCCCTATTGAGTCACCCATTATGTAATGTAATGTATAATATCTGTTCTTTGTATGGTGTGTGCTCAATAAATGTCATTATTATTATTATTATTAAAATTCAAATTAAAATCGATTAAATCTAACAAAAATTTAAATATATCTTAAAATATGCAAAAATAAATTCGGTTTAATCGCAAATGTTGCAAACCGAAAATACACAAAATATCATAAGAAGTACAACCAAAAATAAACGATATTCATTTTGCATATAAGTATTCACAGCTTTAGCTGATCAACAAATTCAATAAAAATTAAAATAAAATAAGTGCAGTGTTATACAACGTTGCATTATTGCATTGCATTATTATTAATTTTCACCGTCTTACTAAATACAAAAATCATTGTAGTTACGTCTACAGATATATTGTAGCTGAAGAGGTATGATCAAATACCAAATGATGATGAAATTGGTATGTGCGGATTATGTTTCTATAACTTCACTTCTCTACTTTAATTGAACTTGTAACTCGATTTGGACGACACTGGGTTCGTTGTAATTACAGATGTAAAACTGAAAAAACTCCCTTTAACGAGTACTGGGAAAACCTTAAAGAAAGGCTTTAGATAAGCGTCGCCTGCTCGATAAACACAGCACTTCCACTAACTTCTTCGTAAAACGTCAAACACGCTTTCGCTTAACTGTAAACAAGAACTTTACAACTGACAAGACTGACTGTCTTGCAATAAATACGATCAAATACGGCTTTTAGCCATAACGTCAGCAAAGAGTTTGTTAATTTTGATGGAAAGGTATTGTGCCAGATAATTTGACATAGATATGTGAAAACAAAAAATACATTGGAAAATTGTACGTCAAAATCAAAGAGATTATATTCCGGAAGCAGCAAAGAAGATGAAAGATAACCCTAAGTTTGGCTTCCATATCAACTCACGTAGAATTACCAAGCTGGCTCTTGACAACTACCATTATGTAATGCTAATAACTTAAAGTGTACAACTACAACCGCATGCAAACTGCCAACTTGTGTAAACGTCACTGAAGAAAAGGAAGAACTAGAAGATTTTAGTGTATATGAAACTTTTGAAAGTAACGAAGGGGTTGATTTAGTTTTCATTAAATGTTAAGAATTAAACAAAATTCCGTCCGTTAACTTCATGCATTAGTTACTAATTGTTGATTTTATCAAAAATGTAGGTATGACAATATTGTAGCATACACAAAAGCTTTCACTTAAGAAAATGATGAAGTCGGACCAATAGTTCTAAAATAGGTATAGTTGATTTTATAAAAATCAACATCCGCCATCTTGGATTGGCCGCCATTTCAATTAGCTACCACTTTGAGATGGCAATTATGGTTTTTTTATATCCTAATATATGTGTCTAACCGTGGTAAAAAGGAAAATTGGTACTCCCAAATTATACCATTTCCTTAAATTTAGCCAGTTGGCCCATAGACTATCGGAAGTCAAGTAAGAAAGTGTAAGACTGATAAAAAAAAATTTTTTAAATGTTGTGCAACCAAAAACCCACCTGATAATGTAGAAGTGGAAGTTACAAGTCCCAAATTTTTTACAGGAACAATATTAAATATTCCATCCTCCCCTCTTGTAATTATTAGCTGAGAAATATGTACATTCATAGGAACTGGTCCGGGCGATGTAATATTCGTAGGTGGGCGATCTTCGATCAAGTGCAGTGCTAAATTCTCTACCGATATCTAAAAAATACGATTACACCAAAGTTTGCACTCACACAGTTTCATTACCTCCATAGGAATAGGTATAGGTATAATTTCATCTTCGATCAAATCGGCCAAGCCGGTTAAAGTGCTCATTGACAAGTCCAAGTTCAGATCGGTCACAAAGATATTCAGGAAGTCCACGAAAACGTTCCGCAAATTTTCACTGTTGCTCAGATCGATTTCTAGTAACGACTTCGAACTGGGAAACTTCGGGCTGTGATCTAATCGTAATTTCACTTTGGCAGTGGGATTGTCGCTTGACGAGCCGCTGGTCCACGCGCGAGATCTTGAGCTAAATTTGGCCTGCACAAAACGTAAAATCATTCATCAATTCACAATTTACGTCACCATCTGAATGCAACATGCAAAAGGCATGCATGTAGCAAATCTGAGGTCATGAGTAACCTGAGCTGCAACCCTTCTTTAGTCAATACGAAAAGCAAAAGTATGAGGTATGAAAAGCAACACAATAATAATGAGTTACCTTATGGATACAATATTATGGGTTCTTTATTATGCGTTTTTTGAAACTAAATTGATTTTGAATATTTTTGGGAACATCGCAAAAAGCCATGTTTAGGCTTTTTGCAATTTTGATTTTTTATTATAAAAAAATAAGGAACAAGATTAGCAATGTTACCAACTTATCTTGAATCATTAAATATTTCTGTGGTAGTAGTGTAAAGCAAAGAATAGTGAGACAAATCTCCATGTAAGAGTTATAAATGTACTTTATCCTCAATAAGGTATCCAAATTTTGATGCCCCCATAGCAGAAACTGCTTCTCATAGGAATAATAGAAAACAATTTTTAACATCCTCCACCTACTTTTCCAAATAAACTTTGATTGTGCTTGGCTGTTTTTGATATCGTGAAGTTATATTCGAATTTTGCACGGTTTTTGAGTTATAAAAAAAAGTTGTGAGTTTTTAAATGGAACATGCAACTTTTTTTAATTCCACTGAACCGAGGATTGTTGTATAAGTATTGAAAGGCATGACAGCATAAATTTGGGTCCTGTTCAATACAAATTTGACGTGTTTCAGCAATTATTTGTCCATTTTCCGGAAACTGATTTATTAATGGCCATTTGCACCGACAAATTTAAGCGTAGCTTAAAATTCATGACAACAATTATTGAGACAATGGTTGCCATGGATTTTAAGCTAGCTTAAGCTAAGCTCCGCTTAAATTTATCGGTGCAAACGGCCATTAGACGTGCAAATTTTAAGGGCACAAACGTATTTGATTTGAGTTTAATGCTCAGCTTGCTCCTTGCTGTGAAGATAGGTGATTGGATAATACCTTGGACATTATCCAATTGGGGTATAAACACATCCACTATGCAACCAATCAAATCAATTCAGCGTGAAGATGTTTCCTTCCTTTGCGGACATTTATGAATAAAACTGTACTCAAAATGTCAAACTAAATAAACTGTTGACTATCAATTGTGATTACAAGTGGCCTAAATTCGCTAATCCTTTGATGTAGTCCATTTGAAAAGAAGCATAGGGAATTTGCACCTATGCATTCTCTTAAAAGAATATCTCTATATTCCTGTGGCCCCACGTTGGGCGCCAAATAAATAATGGTGTAGGCTACACCACCCACACAACATCTGTCCAGTAGCTCAAACAAGCAAAATTGAAACTTAGAATTTTAATTATTTCTCCTCTTACACTTCCAGCATCTGTTACAAAGAAAAGTATTTTGATAAACACCTGAAATGAATCTTGGATACAGAAAGAAAATTCTGGCATGAACACTGCCCGGGTCGCATAATGGGTTCGAATAAACACACAATTATTGACTGTGACAAAAACTTATTCCAAAACATATTAAATGAAAATTAAAACAACATTCCTGAAATAAAGAGAAGATTACAAAACGTACGCAGAAGGTCGATAATAGTATATTAAGATACAAGTGTATAATCACGTCTTTAAAGCACGCGCAACGAGTTTAAAGGCACGACGCAAAGCGGAGTGCCTTTAACGTTGCAAGTGCTTTAAAGACCAATTATACACGTGTATCTTATAGTATTTTTTATTATACCTGCAGCGTAATTTAAAAATAGGAAATACAATGAAATTATATTGACGTTATACTCGAATACATGTTTAATTAAGTGGGCTGGGTGTTCGAAATTTCACGATCGCCATGGAAATGTCACTTGACGTTTGCTTATAAAATCATCGTCTGTAAATAAAACGATTTCCGTTGAAAAAGATAATACGTCGTCCATTAAATCGCTTGCTGTAAAATCTAAACAAACGTTGGTAGGTGTAAAATCCAAATCCAGTAAAGCCTATTATAAAGAATATGAAAAGTTGTTTCCATGGATGAATATAGGAAGTTACTTACGAATAAAGTCTTAAATGCATCGATAATGCTGCCATATATGAAGGAAATGTCAAAGGTATTTAAATCTTGTATCTTTTGGTGCATACATTCAGAAGTTCAAACAATGCTACGATTAAAAAGTGAAACAGATTTGGAAGCATACCCTAAATTACGCGCGTTTGTGAAAGCTTCAAGCAAAGGATAGGTACAACCCAAAGAAATGTTTTGCATTTACAGAAAGCGACCTAAGAGGATTTTTTATTTCAGTCCCAGATGACAGTTTCAAAAGTCATACTTGAAGTATCGTTACTTAGCAACTTTAAAGCACGTGTGTTTTAAAGGCCTTTTTTCGCACGCATTTGAGTATTTAAAACGGAGATTGTGATTCAGGTATAATAAAAAATTACTTTTGCTGATGACTATTCACACGGTACAAACTTTTAACTTTGATAAATGAAGAACCTTGACAGATGACCTCAGGGTGCACTAAAAACTACTTCCTTTCTATACAGAAAAATTACAAAAATGACGAACTGCGTCTTCAATCAATCAAACCGGGTGAACATCCCGCATAATCAGAGTAAAAAAATATACGCTCTCCAACCTTTGCGAACCAGCTCTTTTGCGGCTCCTGCTGGCAGTATTTAACTAAACACCACTTCCATAATAATAGTTATTTACATATGAGTATGGTAAATCAAGGTTTACGTTAACGAGTGAGATGTTTACTGCCGAAGCGTAGCTGAGGCAGGAATTTCGAAACGAGTAACGTAAACTGATTTGACATACAAATAATGTAAAACATTTTATTTCATACTGCTCTATTTCTATTATAATACCATTTTGATTAGAATGTTGTAGGTACACATTAAAATAAAAGCAAAAGTCGATTACTTGATTTATTTGATCTGACAGTAGTTTGACAAATATCAATGCATACGTTTAGATGGATGTCAGTTGCGGTTGCTAGGCAAAATTTCCAGTCTGGTAAAAATTTTCAGTCTGGTAAAATACGATTTACCAGACTCAAATCAGTCTGGGAAAGCGGTGATTACTAGATAGTATGAAATAAAATAAATCTTCAGATTTTTACAAATAAAGCGCCAATCATATTTAGCCTTCATAACGCCAGCTTCGATAGAACTCGTCGCGCCTCCTCGCATACGCCGAACTAATACGCTCATCGTTGAACTGCATAATCCGTTATCGACAAAAATCACGTGCGTTAATTAAACTCCGTCTCATAACAAAACCTCTGATCGTCAACGGCCTGATGTGCCTACATTTTAACACGCTTTACCATTAAATAAACAAATCTAAATAAACAATACACAATTAGAACACTTCTAAAAGGAAAAATAAGACTACAGAAATACAAATTCAAATGAAATAAACCAATTCTGTGCTTATTTGTAAACAACCCCTAGATTTACTTTCTAAATTGAAAAACTTCTCATGAACAAGGTGTCCCGTCATTATTTTCGATGTTTAAACCTAAATAATGTCTACAGGACGCTGTTCACACAACAATATGTAAAAGCCCTTTGACTTTACCAAGCAATAAATAAAATTTTGTCTTTTCGCCGACTACGAATGACATCATTTCATATCATATGCTAGATCATTCCTTCGTTTTCATCCATTCGATTTTGTAACTAATGGCCGTTTGCATCGTAACTTAAAATCCATGGCAACCATTTGTCTCAATAATCGTTGCCATAGATTTTAAGTCACGCTTAAGCTAAGCTCCACTTAAATTTGTCGGTGTAAACGGCCATAAGTGAAATATGTAACGCGAGCGGCGCTAAAAAACGGATTTTTTTGTCGCAACAAAGCAACCATCTTTCCACCAGTTTTGGTGATCGCTAGCCGCTTCGTTACCAAAAGTGTTGTAACGAAAATATTTGTGTTGGTTCTAAGAAATGAAGAGAGAAGGTATTTGATTTAATTTCTACGGTTTCATCCGCCGCTACCGTAAACAAAATCTGTAATCCGCCGTTTGCAACCGTTCCCGTTAAATTTTTAAATTACTGTTGTTGCGTTCAGAATGTCTTGTCATTTGGAAGACGAGGACGAATTAATATTTTAGAATTTAAGATCCGTTAAGTCATTATAAGCCGGTTTTACTTTCATATGTTAATTAAAAAAAGCTTAAAAGAGAGAGGCCGTGCAATCTACGTGTTTATCAGCTTGCTATCGCCGGTTGGTCTCAACATTCTAATTAACAATTAATAGGTGTCAATTGGATTACCGAATTTTGGAATTTCGTATCGCCCATTGAAGTGAGTATAATTAGCGATAGCCGATTAAATGAGATGCAGAAACGGCATTTTAAGATTAATCACAGATGTTTATGGAGTCTGCACAATTAATTAAGAAAATTTTTATTTTTGAATACGGCACTTTCGGCAAACAAAAATAAAATCGATTCATTCATACTATTTTTGAAGTGACTATTTCTGATCACTCGGTATGCACTATACGTTTTGGACGGGAATAAAATCATCTCATGCGTAACGCTATAGAATATAGAGCACCCTTCCATATTCTGTGGTCGGCAGTCAAAGGCGGGCTCGGTCCACTCGCCTGGCTCACAATTGTTTACTGTGCATTTAAAAAGAAATATGCCATTAAAATTGTTGATGTGCCTTTGAAATTGACTATTATACAACTTTAAAGCGTATTTAATAGCTTCGGACTAAATAAAATGAATTTAAGATTATTTGAAGTGATTAGAGGCGTTTTCTTTCGGTTACTTCGCGATCACAATTTAAGACCGTGATTCTTAGGATTACGTTTTACGAAAGAACGCGCTCGTAGCTCAGTTGTAAGCTTGCCGTTCCTCGATTTACAACGGTCAAAGACGACCCAAGTTTGCGCGTTTTTTTTCTATAATACATTGAAGCAAACAGAATTGAGCGAAGGACTGTGAAAGAGAAAAAAGTAGTCACTTCAGAATTTTTACAAACTAATTCTACTGTACTGTGACCACCGTCGGGATTCTATATCCGGTCCGTGCAGACCACCACTGGAAGGAAGACAAATTTATTCGGATTAAAAAGCGTGACCAGAACGCATCTAGGACCCATGGTCCACAGACAATAACGACATTTATGAAGCATTGTTCTATCGCGTTGTAGTATTGCCGTTTTCCGTTGTTTACCTCGTTATAGAATTGAACTAGCGTCATAGTGTATTGATGTATTAATTACAAACTATTGAAGAGAATTTTATGCCCAAGCGCTATTTAACCACCTACTTGCAATTTTGCATCAAGTTGGTGTTTGTGAAGGAATACCAGTTGCCAGTAGAGTTTAGAAGTAGAAGAATTAATTGTAACTGTTACAGTACCTTTCAAAAATTGAACAGTAAGTCTGGTGTTCTTTTGTCTTTTTTATGTCACATACCAATTGAAAGAATTTAGTTACCTAGGTTTATTACCCTTTTCCCCTCTTTTTATGTATTTTGTGTTCATTGGTACAGACTTCTAACAATTTCAATATCCGTGATAGCTGCGCCGCCCTTTCAGATCGTCAAGTTCAGACCTATATCTCGATGTGCAAAATCAACTTCACTTTTTCTCCACTAGTGGTCTCACTGTTCTATTCTTTACACTATGGGAATGCATAAGCCACTCACTTGTTCCTAATTAGCAGAAATTTTTTTGTTTGCTAATGCGGTACTTAACAAAGTTCTTGCTAATTATTCAAACAAATGGGTGCGGTATTTCTTAGCTTTTGGTGAATTTTGGCGGACTTCATTTTATTGCTGAACACTCCCAGCCCTTTCATTTGTTGTTGCAATCAGTTAGGTATTTAAAATCACTAAAAGTTATCTTTTAATGGAGAGTACGGGTGCATTTACTAATTATGGCTACAGAGTGTACTACGCATGCAAATAAAATGCTATGACAAGTAGTCTGCCAATACCTTTATCTTGGTCTGTGCCACACATAACATTCAGAAGCATGCCAAAAAATACAGAGAAAAATTAAGTGTTAAAAAAGTTGTAGTGACTTTTGTGATATAGCAAGTTATAATATCAATGTATATATATTTACATTCAGATGAAAGAATTTGGATTAAGTTTAAATGACTTTCTCCCTACAATACCTGAAATTCGTCCCACGGAATCGCTCCGCAATCCTCATTGGATATGTTACCAACTTGCACCTTTATGCTGGACGAATATCCGACCGACTGCTGAAGAAATTCGACCTTGTTCAATTTGAATGTAGCCACCGACACCTTTGAAACATCCAATTATATTACTTTACATTAGACAATGATGCAATGTTACCAAATCCTTTCTTTTACAGCTGCTGGTAAGCGAGTGATCACTTGTAGTTGTCGTATTCTCTTCTTCGATAACTTCCTTCGCCATTTCGACATTTCGTTCGTATACATAACCGGGCACCCGAAACATTGCATCCAGTGATTCTGCATTACGATCTCCGTCCATACCCATATTGACGACGACAAAATTCTCCGAGTCGCTCGACGCATCGCTTCGAATGGATAACGTATCGCTCGCATCATCGGACGTCGGCTTAAGGGCGCTATCAATAGAGGTCATTAAATTGCTAAAGCCTTTCTTCATAGATGACAGCCCTACAAAGTTTGCACATGTAGTGTGGGAAATAACGAACGCACGAAAGCACCTGCATTCAAATTGTTGGGTAAATTAATGTTAGCAAAGGGCGGGGTGACATTTTTATTCTTATTTTCCGTAGAGTGCTGTACAAAATCCATCGAGTAACTGGAAGATATTTCGCTAACCGGTGTCTCGACACCGTTCGTGAAAGATTTCAAGGTTTGTTCTCCCTGAGGTATATTATATACTGCAGACTGCCACATGGTTCCGGTTGAGCCTGAAACGTCATGCAGAAAGGAATATAAATGTCAACACGCGTCCCAAAGCTGGACTTGCTCAATATGCAATGATTTTTGAGCAGCTTTAGTGATTATTGTCTAAATGTGCCACCAAGAGATTTCTTCTACATTCGTTTTCAGTCCATGGAAAGGTACGCCCATGCTCATTGAGGTAGGATGCGTCCTGTAACGACAGCCCTTTTAATGGGATTTAATTAAGGGTGCGCATACCTTTGAATTTGTGTATTATAAAATATAGAAAGTGGTCTCATTAGAGGACACGTTTCTTTGAAATTATGTTGCGTATATTTTTGGGCGAATTGTTTTGGATTACATAACAGTCTGAAAGCGCCATGAGCGAAATTAACTGTATGTACGTGACAGACCCGCTGAATTAGATGTATCTGGGACATTTCTGTTAGGCAAGGCAGAGGTGTCTGCCAACTGCTTTTCTGGAGACGGGGTTGGTGAAGAGAAATGAATTCTATTGGTAGAACGAATTCGAAACCATAGTTGGGCGTAAGTTCAAGATGGTGGGAATTAGGCAGTGGAAAATAGCCGTGGAGGTATTACGCGTGAAGGCGCGATAGAACACGCTGTAAGTTACGACAGCGCATGCGTCAGCAATGAAAAGAAAATGTCTAGTGAAGCACCCAGAACAGAAATTAAGTTTCAGCAGCCGAAAAAATTAAATGCGACATCACAAAAGGTGTCGCAGTGAAGAGCCAGAGAAAAGTTGGTTAAGCCGATAAAAGTTAATTCATTTAGCTGATAAATTACCGCGGTGATTTTTGAATTGTAACTATGCGTATAGAAATTTAAAAAAATAGGATGATTCGAAAAATTGAAATAGAAAACGATTTTAAAAAATCCGAAAAATAATAACATTTGCAAGATGTATGAATTCGAAAAATTAAAACAATTTTCCACAATGTACCCATTTGGAAACTTTTAGTAATTACAAAAATCAAAAATTTTCAGCAAGTGCATACAAACATTGAAAAATTTTGTTGATGAAGAACTCCATGTTATGTCTGAGTATTCAGATAGACATAGAGAAAAATTAAAAATGAGACTCAAAAAGTTTTTATTTCTATAGGCGATCGATTTCGACGTACCACGTCATCATCAGGCCGAGCTGGAAAAATTACATTAACTACGAAGCGTATATAACATTATAAAAAATAGTTCCAGTCGGTTATGAAAAGTACAAAAATATGAATATAACGGTGCGGAGTCTCTGCCTGATAATGACACGGTACGTCGAAATCGATCGCCTATAGAAATAAAAACTGTTTGAGTCTCAATTTTAATTTTTCTCTATGTCTAAACATTCCAAAACTTGGGCATTTCAGTGAATTTCGTAACATTAATACATTTGGAATATTTATAAAAAATTAAGTCATAAAGATTCAAAATATTAGAAAATAGAAAAACATTTAAAAAATTCGCTCACAAAATTAAAAAAAATTATAAAATACAAAAATTTGAAGAATTTTTCAAAAATTAGAAAAACTAAAAATATGAATATTTCGAGACACCAAGACCGAACATCTGGAAAAATGAAAATCTAAAGCGCATACAATTTGAAAATAAATAAACACAAATTCAAAATCATAAGTCAGTGAACCCAATATTTAAAAAATAATAGAAAAAAAATTGAGAAATATTTGAAAAATTGAAAATTACGAAAATTCAAAAATCGAAAAAACAAGTTGAAAATTCACAGAAAACAAGCCAAACTACCGTCTCGATCCCCTACGAAAATAACAAGTCACGCAGAATATTACAAAAGTTACATTAAATTTATTAATTAAAGTTATGAATTCTGCTTCATTGACTTCTGACATTTTAATAATAATTTTTCAAGTCCCCCTTGATTAATCACATAAATTATCAATGCAGTAATCGAATCTTTTCCAGGTAAAATATTTCATGCACTCGAAAATTAAAGTACTCGCCCCTAAATGGGCCTCGTACTTCAGTATTTCCTCGCCATGTATCATATTCCTGACTTTTGGGTAAATAACTATTAAATGAGATACATAAAAATGTTTATTACAAAAGTTTCTTTGTAATGATTGTTGAATAATCTGCCGTTTTTTAAATAAGTATATGCAATCAGCTAAAAAAAAGTTATTGAAACTGTAACGAAGCACCCATCTTTCGACCAGTTTTGGTAACCGCTCTGTATATGAACACTCGGTATCTATAAGCGCGTCTTTACAAAAATGGCGTGCCGAAAATATTTGACTGGGTTCTAGGAATTGAAGATAGAAGGTAAAGGTATTTGATTTAATTTCTAGAGTTGTGTTTATTTAGAAGTTGAGGCGAATTAATATTTTAGAATTTCAGGCCCGTTACGTAAGTCTAGGCCGTGCAGTTTAGGTGGTTAACAGCACCCACCCCGCCGGTTGATGCCAACATTCCAATTAACAATAAATTGGATTAGCGAATTTTACAAATTTAAATCCGGCCCATTAAAAGCGCTAAATAAATGTGTTACAGTAAACAGCATCCGATTAAGTCGTGATGGGTCTCAAAAGAAGCGCTCTTAATTAATTTGAATTTGAAGACCAATTACGGATTTTTAGCAGCAGACCACACAATTAAATTTTAATTTTTGGACAGTATTACCCGAATACGTCGGCCGGCCCGGAATTTCCTACGTTCCCTCTCCATACTTTCGAAAGTTCGTAAGTACGGTAATTTTTAGCCATTCCGTAAATTTATTTTGCATTCTTATCGTTTCATTTTTACTTTTACATAAAGTCTCCCGCACTGTATCGTATCTACAGTTTTTGCTTTTTCTTGCACAGTAATTTCTACCACTCCGTTTTATTGCACGGTAAGCGTTTTGCTACTTCCTGTTCCACTAATTATAAGAGGGATATTGTTTCGCTTTCCGGCATTTACTTTCCCATAGACACCGCTAATTAAGTTGTTTTTTGTTGCTTTCATTTTCGCTAGGGAGGTAGTTTGCCGTAATGTAGAATGGGATCAAAGAGAATCTTTTTTAAACACGTTTTTATTGGTTCTATTGCGGCTATCGATTTCAACCTCGTAGGGTCATCTTCAGGCCGAGCTATAATATATTGTTTAACGATACAATTACAATGTGGTGATGTCTTACCGTCAATACTATGAAATGATGAGGCATGTACTATTATTAGCGGAGTAGTATGTGTTAGTTATCAGGAAAGCTGTAAATGTGGCCAATTATTAATAATTAACCACATTTACAGCTTTCCTGATAACTAACACATACTACTCCGCTAATAATAGTACATGCCTCATCATTTCATAGTATTGACGGTAAGACATCACCACATTGTAATTGTATCGTTAAACAATATATTATAGCTCGGCCTGAAGATGACCCTACGAGGTTGAAATCGATAGCCGCAATAGAACCAATAAAAACGTGTTTAAAAAAGATTCTCTTTGATCCCATTCTACATCGCACAACACGTTTTAAAAACAATGGAACAATACATCAACCGAGTTTGCCGTAACTTTGTTTTAATCTTTCCGAAGTGACCGCCGCTATTTGCTGCACTCGTCCAATTCCTGGAGATGCCGTTCACTCTCATTGAGTTTATCTGACGCTTCCGAAACCGTCCCGCAAACCGCTGCTACCGCCGACCTTGACCAGAGGCAAGGCCCCACCACTTGGTGGCGCTCGAGCCCATGCGTCCGTTCCGCCGACAGCACACACAGGTTCCCGCAGACTGCCGCTACTTTCGTCGGCTCACATGATTTAATTAGTATAATTTGAAAATTTATTTATTTTTCTTTTAAATTAAAATGTAATCATTAATTTGCTGCTTATTTAATTTGTCATGACATTTGTGCTCGGAATTACTACCGAAGTTCGTCCCCAAACCGAACCCCATTTTTTAAATGGAACACCCTGTATATTTTAATCTAAAAAGATAGTATATTATTAAATTCTCTTTTCAAAAATGCAAAAAAATTAATAAAAGGTTCAAATGAATTTAAATAAAATCTTTTTTGAATTTTTTTACTGTTATATATTTTTGAAAAGAGAATTTAATATGCTATCTTTTTAGAATAAAATATACAGGATATTTTAATTTAAAAACATGAGATTAGGTTCAATAACTATTATACCTCACCATGTACACTTATTTTGAAAATGGCGAACTATTCAACAATCATTATACAGAAACTTTCGAAATAAACATTTTTCTTCTCTCTTTTAACTGAGAAGATGTAGGGTAATTCTGAAATGGGCAATTTGTTGATTTTCCCCGGCATGTCTTAAAGCGAGAGGAAGTTTTTCATTGCAAGTCTGACCTAAAAAGAACACATGCACCTATATTGCTTTTGCTCTAGCACTAACAGTTACAGATACCCCATAAAAATGTCAAAAATGGGACACCCTGTACATAGGCGAAATACAGAAGAAAAATAATTAAGTATTAATAGTAGACGTTTTTATTATTTTAAGAAATGATAATTCATAGAAGGGTTGGCAAAATACTCATCCTAAAAGGGGGGGGGGGGGGGCACAGTGTCTGAGAGGTTGAGAACCATTGCACTAGAACAGTACAAGGTGCGATTATATTGCATGCATATATATGAATATGAAATTGTTAAAAAATTGTTTCTAACGCTACATTTTAGTACAAAATGAGGGCCCATGGTGGCGTTAAGTAAATTAGGCCCAAATTACTGGTAGAAAATTGAGTGTCTGAAGCACAAGTAGGTACCAAATAATATATTTAATATTATATTTTTAATAATATAGTTTTTGTCAATGGAATTAGTAGTGATTTCAACTTATTCCGAAAAAAAATGAGGTATCTTATTTTGACACTCTTTTATAATGAATATGAATCCCTGGAGCTGCTAAAAAATCATGGCTTGTAATGCTTGTATAAGTGTCTACTTATCACATTAAATAAAATGAAAATGAATACATGCGGTTATTGGTGAAGACGTGAGGTTATTTGAATATATACCCTCGCTGAAACTTGAAAAATTGAAAATCTATATTGCTTCCTGTGAAGTTTTATATTCAAAAAACTAAGTAAGCGTTCTGTTTTTGTTTGAAAATATTCAAAAAATTACAAATTAAAAAAAAAACAAAAAGTATAATCTTACCTCCAACAAAACCATCATCATGTATACTTGATGAATCTGGAACGAAAGATTCAACATCACCACCTGACGACTCTTTTCCTGGACACTGTGATGGCATTACAAATGTAACCTCGACTTGCGGAACCAAAGCACCTACCACCATTGAACCACTATTTTCAGCCTGGCATAAGAAACACACTGAATACCTTAAATACGTCTAACTAAACAAATACCTTGAGAATCCTACTGGAATCCAAAGATAAAAATGTTGTTAGTTCACTGATCTCTTCCGAAAGACGCAACAAAAACAAAAATTGATAGTGATTAATTTGTAAACTGACTAGATTAGATATATGCGCCAACGCGTGAATGTCAGCATTTTTCGGTCCATTTTCGGTGCTCGCTATGGTAGAATTAGGATCCATTTTCGCATGTAGCCACACGGTTATCGGTACTGCATCTAAAAACGGTACGGCTTTGCTATTACCCACGGCGCGTGCTCCCAAAAAATCCCCCCACACTGGTTCCAGACTTATACACCAAACATCTTTCGCTTCTATCCATAACATTTCCCTACTAAGCTGCTCAATCTAAAAAAATGTATGGTATTACAAATGAACTTCAGACAAATACACACCAGAGTATTTACGGAAGATACATTCAGCTCCTCTGGTACACTTCTAATGTTGTCATTTGTCGATATATGATCTAAAAACTTTTCAGTAACGATATAGAAGTCATTGGCAGTTGATGGGAACTCTGTCCCGAAAAATAAGGAGCCCATGTGAAAGAAGTCGACACACTTTGCCAAATCGGCTCTCGAAGACTGCTCAAGACTGCGCACGTTAGTTATTGTGGCTCTTGTTATTTGAAAACTCAACGTTTTAGGACGGTCTCTTTGATTATGATAATCCAAAGCGCTCTCGAAAGTAACCTACGCAAAAGACGTCAAGCGTCACTCCCTATATCAAAAGTGACAACTCACCTTTGGCAGAATTGCTTCTATTTTAACATCAATGTACGCAATATTATTTCCCGATATGTCTTGTTTAGAATTTAGTAAGGACTGGTGCAAATTTAAGGCGAACGAGTTGAACCATAAACAGCTATCGAGGTCGAAGTGAATTTGAATCGGATTCACCTGCATATACAGTTTGGGAGGAGGTACTAAAACAGTAATTTTTAATCAGATAATCTAACCGTTCACATACTTACAAGGAAACGGGACGTCGTTCGGATAATAAAAGTAAATAAATTCGGCATGAACAATGTTCGTATCCTCGGGAAGTGACATACGTTCTCGATCGCCTAGCAAAATCAAACGATGAAATAGTTAATAAAGTTGTACGAATTGTACGCGCTTATACAGAAGACTAAATTACTTTCAAAAGGTGTTAACAAGATTAGTCAGCGGGAGTGATGTGCGTGCAACGAGAGGCAACTTGTGGGACACCATGACCTAATGCCTAATATTAAAGAAATGAATAGGCTGTGATCCAGTACTTCCATAACGACGCAAAACTAATCTAAAATAAATTAGTGTTAGTTGGATTATTTTTTGGACACTAGTGTTCGAAATGCGGACCGTGAGTCGAAGTGTGAGGAATTAACAATCAACCAAGGGATCCTGGACGTGGGGGGAGTCGCCCTACCCCTCGCTACGCCACTGCTTAGAATATACAGTCCCTTCAGGAACAAATTCATTAACAACTCCAGTTTTTATTCTCTGGAAAAATTCTCGGGTACGTCGCTTAGTGTTTCCACACGCGTTTGTGGCATCAAAAATGTTATACAGGATGTTTCAAGTGGGAAATACGGCATTAATTTTTTTTCGCATAGACTAATGACGCATTTGGTCATTAAAAATGACTTATCCTTCCATAGGTGATTAATAATGTGTAATTGGAAACAATATTGACTAACAGACAACAGATGATACTTAATATTCAAATTCCACCACCACAGTACAAATTTGAAAAGTGATTTTCATATCACCTTCATTTTATTTATAAATAAACTAGACTTTCAGCAAGCAGTAGTTATTTTATCGGGAATGCAAAAGACATTTTCTAACTGAATTATACAGGGTGGCCAAATTTGGTCAATGGTATGGGGTAACTGTATAGATTTTGACGATAGGCGGCTCATTTGAATTGAATTAATATTATTAGGAGGAAAATACGCTCTCGTAATACGCTAGTTTGGTTTGGTTAAATGAGAGAGAAGATGAGCAACCAACGGTCTTTTGGTTTTTGAAAATTATTGAAAAAATCGGATTTTTCGTTTTTAATAAAGATAATTTTTATTACTTTTATTTTTTTAGTGATTTTACGAACTATTTTTTTCTGGCGTTAGTATTTGACCCGTTCATTTAAATACGGCCCTGATATTCCGATATCATATTGTTATAGCTCTTTTTATTTTGCATTCAATGATGTATACCACTCTATGGTTTAACCTTTTTTTCGGACTAAGAATTCAGAAAATTCCTGTTACGGACCTGTACATTTTAAAAAAAAAATAGGACAATTAACGGTTTATATCTTTTATGTATTTAATAGCAATCCAATGTGTGAATTGATACAACATTCGAACACCTTAGTCAGCATTTGTGAAATAATGCTATCGCGAATGCTTCCGGAACTAACCCCCCCCCCCCCAGTTCTTCCGCTGAAATTTTTTGCTGATAAATCTTAATGACTCCTCATATGAAGAAATCAAGCGAGTTATATTGGGTAAAAGTGATAGCCAGGGTGTTTTTGAACGCGTGCTAATATCTTTTTCTGGAAATCTCATTGAAAAATGTCTCTAGAATTATGTGCAGGTGCACCATCCTGCTGTATCCAACAGTTGTGAACTATAGCTAGGGGCGTGTTTTCAAAAACATCGTCAAAATCGGTTTGCAGTAAAATAAAGCCGAACAAACCAAAATTAAACCATAAAGTAAAATTCATAATAAAAAGGGGTTTAAGAATATGATCCGGAATATCAGGGCCGCATTAAAAAAACTGAAATTCATGATGGTTCCGCAAAGACGAAACGTCGGATTAAAGAAATAAAAAATCCACCAAGAGCATTAAAAGTTGCTGTAGAGAAGTGTCATTGGTTTTGCTCTACGTCAAACATTAACTGCCTTTCTAGAATTCCCACTGTGGTCCTCCTAATCTCAGACATAGCCACAGAGTGCAACTGGTCTGTTAAAAAAACTGGGTGATAGGGGCAACCAAAACATACATTTATTCCAAATAGTCCAAAGGTTGAAAATGAGTTTGAGAGCTAAGTCTTTAAGTCCCCGAACGTGTGTCGTCTTTGATTGTATAACAATTAACGCGCGATTTTATCGCTATTAAGAGATAATGGAGAGATGCTCTACGATGTGCGCAGTATTTCAGCGTAAATGGGGACGTTTGGCGCGTTCCATCGAGCTGAAATTATCAAGTTAATTTTTTTTTATTCTTAATTATAGCAAGACTGCGTGCGGGGTATTATGCCCAAACAAGCTTTGTAAGCTTTTTTCTTTCAATTATTTGACTTTAATTGTGTTTAATGTGTTTCAAAATAAATTTGTGTCAATTTAATAAATCAATTGTGTAATTATAAAATTCTGAGTGTAAATTTTGATTTGTACAGTTCCGCGCCAATTATTCTCCAGATCTTAACTTAATTTACAACTACCGCAAGTAGACATAAGGGTGAGGAAAGATCACGAAGTACCCCAAACAATTTTGAAATTGTAATACAAAATAGTGCGTTATTAGGGTCCAGTTTACTCCATTAGCGATCACTCCAATCTGAACAAATGTACCGGGTGACCCAATAAGTTCCTCTACCATATCTCAGGAACCGTACGTCGTATGATTTAGGGGTAAAAAAAATTATTGGGTAAATCGGTCATAAAAAATCGCTGGAAAATATTTTCAAGTTCTAAAAATGACCACCAGAGGCTGTAACTGCCATCTTAAATTTTAAAATTGCATTTTCTTTAAATTTGCCATAATAAACTAAACATTCTTTTTTCAAATTTCTAAAGAGAACCAGTTTATCTATCATTTTCGTAAAAACCAAAACTCAGTTATTTCAAAAACAAAGATGGTGTGGGGCGTTAAATTGTTTTTGCAATAATCTGCTTTAACTTCTTAACCGTTTGACCGATTGTAACAAATTTGGTATCGTTGAAAAGAGCATTCCTTGGGCAATAAGAATCTATAGTTAATTTAGTTGAATCCTTCTTCGCCAGGGGGCTAGTTTTGACATTATGATCCAAAATCCTAAAAAAATCAAATGGAATGATATGACTTTTTCTTTATGAAAAAGTAAACAAATAACATTCAAAGAGGCCAGTGAAAACCGTTTTTCAAAATTCCATGCTTCCAAGTGTTGTAGCAAATTTTGTAACTTTTGAGAACGTAACCCCCAAATAGAACATTCTGGACCCTTGGGTTATTTATAAAACATATGTTTGGTTCAGTCTACCACCCAATTTTTCTAATTTTTATTTGACATACTTACCTAAAGATGGCAGTTAACCTAAATGAAAATACAACAGATACAATTTATATTTTCAAAACAAGTCGTAGTGCGCACAGAGTTACATAAACACTTTCCTTATACTTCTTTTAGTCACACTCCCGCTGGCTATTATTGTCTACTCTAAGAAACAAAACGGTGAATTTCAGAAAAGGTACAGTACACAAAAAAGCAACAGCAGACTGAACACAGTTCATGGAAATATTTCAAATAGCTTGGAGGTTTCGATGTCTAAGTTGTTGAGTACTTGCACTTTAATACTTGAACAAGGCAATGCAATATGAAACAGAAAAAGTGACTTTTGCGCACTAACTTGCTCGTTCGTCGCCGAGTGCGGACTAAGAAACAAATCATTCATAACACAACAGGCATTTCAACCGCCCTCTACACTACATCTAAAACTTAATCAATTAATATACCTTCACCGACAATTCTTTCTTTCCTTTTATGTTGAGCTAATCGATAAAAAATTATTCGCATCTCAATCAAGTTTGACTCTTCGGCGAAAAGCAATCTCACCTGCGATGAATTCCTTGAGCGCCTGTTTCTTTCCCGACGTCGTCACTTTAAATAATGAAAAATCGTTGATTCTTATCACCGCGCATGCCGTCATCAACTTTGCCAGCTGTTGCGAAACGTAATTTTTAATCTGGGTCGGACTTTGGGGAGGCTTCTTTCCGGAATCGCTTGTTGGACTAACAGGAGTCTCTGCCTAAAAAGAAGCAAAAATGATGATCCATACACAGTTATTGACGCGTGAAAATGTGACCTTTAAATGCAGGTCAATTTATTTTCAATTGAATTTACACATATACCGCTTCATAGCAAACGTGAACAAAAGTATGTCTGGCGATAACAAGTGATGAACGCATTGGGGAAAGCGAGCGCGGTTGCCACCATCTCTCCGAACCTAAAAGTTGCGTTCATTCCATTTGAGTGTAATTAATAGCCAGCACAAGAAGGTACATAAAACGCGTTCGGATCGAAAGATTATTCTTTACAAGTATTTCAACTGTAGAATGTTTCTATTGTAAATGGGGACACTTACCAACCGGGGGTCTAAGGGGTATGGAATACCCCCCAGCGAAATGAGCGTTTTGTCTGAGACATTTGTACCGAAACACCCAATTTTTTTACATCGAATCTACCAACTTTAATTAACATAGCTGAAATCGGATGGGCGCTATATTAGTAAAAAAACTAAATTTCCGGACCTATTTAGTTATCTTCTGAAAATTCCAAAAAACAATGGGTGTTAACTAGCCTTTCGAATTTTGGAATTTCAACCCAGTCAATTAAGTAAGCATAATTACCAGTACATAGCTAATTAGATGTGTTGCAGCAAACCTCGTCTGATTAGGTTGTGTGTGATATCATTGGAAGCGCGCTAATTTATCGAAATGTTTGCGTCAACTGCGAGTAAACAAACTGACATTAAAACTCATTTTGATAAACAAGCAGTTAAAAAATTCAAGGTGGCGGTCACATCCAAAAACCATATGTCAAAAACAATTTTTTTTCATCTTCTCAAAATATGTGAAATAGCGAGTGAAATAATTTCAAATGAAAGCGTTCGAACTTTCATGTCTATATCTCAAATGGTTTGAGCGTGGAGTTTTGGTTCCATCTTTAATAGCGACCCTATATAAAGCTTTAGAATAATAATATCAATCAACGATTTAAAAAACAAACACGTATTAAATCTCAGCAGATAAAGCATGCGCATTTATCTGGAGTCATGTTGGATTGTAGATACAAGTTAGCAGAAGCACTACAAATAGTGAATACACATTTGCTGAAGTCAGTATATAGATTTAAATACAGCAAAAATCATTTTCCACAACCCAACCCACCTTGCTTGAACGCGAAAGAGGAATGTGTTGCATTTTATTCCTTTCAATCAAATCCAGCAACTTCGATTTAAAAGCAATAACCGATTGTTCCTGCCAATGTGTATGAGGGATCGCCGCCTCACGATACCTCGGCCAATGCTTTCTATCTCCCTTGGCCAAATGGTACGGATAATAATCCACTTGAAATCGGTCCACGCTAATCTGTAGAGCACCGCCGTCTTTCAAATTGGGATGGCAAGAACGTCCCACTACAAAACTTAATGTTACAAAAAAAAAGATAGGGGGCGATACTTACGACCAGGGTCATCGCACAAGTGCAGTACAATGTGTTGCGATAAAAAATGAAAGGATGTCTCCACGACGTCGTAACGTGAAAATATTTTGGAAATTGCTGATACTCCATCTTTCGCCCTTGCTTGCTGCGCTAGGTGTGCTTGATACTCTGGTAATTCCTGAAGTGAGACGATTTACAGTAGAATTTATCAAAACAAACTACTACTAAATGTAAAGCGATTCAACAGTATAAACAAGCGTTTGCCTTTTTTTTTAAATTATTAATCGATTGCTGAGGTTTATTGTACGTCCATCTACTGACGCGAATCGGTACCAACCAGAACACAAGATTTTGAGGTTATACACAGTGCTTTGCTGTCTAATAATGTATTTCATTTCTAAAACGTTGAGTGCAGGATTTGCGAAAAGTGTATAATACACTGTGTCCAAGATCGTGCTGTAAAGAAAACCGAAAAATTCCGATTACTTCTGAAGGTATGCTAGACACCCCGAAATTTGCATTTTTTTTGTACTTATTTATTTTGAACAGAGAAAATTAAAAAAAACACTTTCTCATTTTCACTACTTGAGCTGCTCTACAATACAAAGTTTCGTTTCAGAGAAATCATGATCAACTTTATTTATTATATGGCACGCAAAAAAAGTAGATACTGTATTGAATAGCATTTTTTTATTACGAATACAACGATGTACCACACACAATAGAAAAACAAAAGTTGGAAACTGTTGGCTTCAACAGGATGGTGCACCCGCGCACAACGCCCTGATCGTCTGGAATACCTATCAGACAAATTTCCTACGGTTGTGCGCGTCAAGATAGTTTATCGGAAAGGGAATCGGAAGCAGAAAAGAGATGTCAAATCTTAAACAGTGGTCAATTAAATCAAATGAAGTTACTCCAAAAAAAGCAAGTTATATTTAATGAACAAAACAACAAGCGAAAGAGTAATTGACAGAAAGCACAGGATGAGGAAGGTTCGCCGCGCGACATGTATGTAATTGTTTGTACAATCGCATTTCTAGTTCATACAGCCCAATTATAGTTCATTTACCAATTAAACTCGCCAGTTCACATCTATTTCCATTTACTTACTTTAAACTCGAAACCCTTTTTCACAGTTTTACCAATTGAGAATAAGTTTTTACCAATGTCTGGAACATACCAAACGTCTTTGAAATTCCATATGAAGAAACTTTTTAACCTGACCTTGATCTCACACTTGAATGTTGAGTAATTTTTGAATTTGGACCGGCGACCAACCTTTGAACTTTGAACGGTCGGAAATGGACTTTGACCGGTAACCAGCCTGTGGATTTTGAACAGTGAGCAAATTTTGGACTTTGATCGACAACCAACTTTTGAACTTTGAACAGTATTTGTAGTTTTAGTATCGTCGTTGGGCTGAGCTAAGTGTGCGCAGGCACTATCTTGACGCGCACAACCTTAACCAATTGAAGTAAGTCAGTTTTGTAGCGATCAAGTGAGTGTACAATCAAAACGCAGAGTGGTATGTTGAATGTGTGTGATTATTATGCAGTGACGTTTTCGCGCAGTGTATGGGGGTGCAATTGTGCCATGATTCAGATGCAATTTTGTACAGTTTGTAAAATTAAAGTTCAAAGTAGACAATCTTGCTGTTTGTATTGACTTCAACCCCTCTATGAAATTGTTAAATCCTCCATAGCTCAACTGGTTACGTGGTAGCCTTCTGTTTGAGGTATCGTGGGTTCAAATCCCAAAGCCAATAAAAATTTTTTTCTCCAGCAATCACCACTGCCATCAAAGTGATTTGTCCAGTATCCAAGATGGCAGGTCAACTACCAAAATACGTTGGGGACCAACTGCCAAAATACCCCGGGGTAACTGCCAAAATAGGGGGGGGGGGGGGCCNTATCGATATATCAATAGTTATCGACATATCGATATATCAATAGTTATCGACATATCGATATATCAATAGTTATCGACATATCGATAGGTATCGATATATCGATACTTATCGATAAGTATCGATAGTTATCGATCTATCGATATATCGATTTTTTTTAGCTCTACCTATTGTTATTCGATATAACCTATCGATATATCGAAAAAAATTCCCATGCCTAGCCCTGATCGTCTGGAATAGCTATCAGACAAATTTCCTACGGTGTGCGCTCAAAGATAGTTTATCGGAAGGGAATCGGAAGCAGAAAAGGAGATGTCAAATCTTAAAACAGTGGTCAATTAAATCAAATGAAGAAGAGTAATGACAGCAAGCACAGGATGAGGAAGGTTCGCGCGCGACGAGTATGTAATTGTTTGTACATCGCATTCTAGTTCATACAGCCCAATTATAGTTCATTTACCAATTAAACTCGCCATATTGTCTTCGAAAGTTCACATCTATTTCCATTTACTATTAAAACTCGAACCCTTTTTCACATTTTTTACCAATTGAGAATAAGTGTTTTAGCAATTGTCTGGTACCATACCAAACGTCTTTGAAAAATTCCATATGAAGAACTTTTTAACCTGAGCTTGATCTCACACTCGAATGTGAGTAATTTTTTGAATTTGGACCGGCGACCAACCTTTGAACTTTGAACGGTCGGGAAATGACTGTTGACCGGTAACCATCCTAAGATTTTGAACAGTGAGCAAAATTTTGGACTGGCCGACAACCAACTTTTTGGAAACTTGAACCGGTATTTGTAGTTTAGTGATCATCGTTTGCCTGAACTTGTAAGTGTGCGCAGGCACTATCTTGCGCCGCACAAACCTTAACCAATGAAGTAATGCCCCCCCCCAGTTTTGTAGCGATCAAGTGACGTGTACAATCAAAACGCAGGGAGGGTATGTTGAATGTGTCGGTGTGATTATTATGCAGTGACGTTTTCGTTGTATGGAGGTGCATTGTGCCATGATTCAGATGCAATTTTGTACAGTTTGTAAAAATTTAAAGTTCAAGTAGACCATCTTGCTGTTGATTGACTTCAACCTCTAACTATGAAATTGTTTAAAGGCCTTCCTGCTCAAGTGGTTATGTTGGTAGGCCTTCTCTTTGAGGTATCGTGGGGTTCAAATCCCAAAGCAATTAAATAAATTTTTCTCCAGCAATCACCGCTGCCATCAAAGTGATGTGTCCCAGATCAAGATATGGCGGCCAACTACTGAAATACCCTGGACCAACTGCCAAAATACCCCAGAGGGGAGGGCACTACCAACATATGACCCCACACCAACTTGTGGAAATATGACCCTCCTGCACACAGACCTCGCACCAGACCAACTGCCAAAGTTACCTTACACTGTTCGGGCCAAAACTGCCAAGGCACCCAGGTCGAACTACCAAAATATAACACCCCAGACCAAGTGCCCGAAATACCCTACCAAGGGTTAACTTCGAAAATATGACCCCGGAACCCAACTGCCCAAAATATTTTCCACAGTTCAACAAATTTTCCCATAACATACCTACTTCCAAATTCATAGGATCCATCCTGTTTATGTATAAAAATAAAATTTTCCTGTTAAAATAAAAGAATAGCCAGGTTGCGGACAGCATTTTCCGTTATGTTTAAGACGCGCCATTTTTCTTTAACATAAGAAATATAAATTTTTGTAGGAAATAATTACGGTATGAGGCTTTTTGTACGATATATTTATTAAATAGCTGAACCAATGAAAATGAGTTTCTTATAATGGTGTCACTGCGCAGTACGTTAATCACTCATAAATAACCATTTTTCCTGCTAACCACAATTGTGCGTGTTTATGTTGTCGGGTAGTTCTTTTCTTTTGTCTAAGAGCATAGTATGAACTTTGGACATTTTAACACAATGTAAAATAAAAGTGAGGTTAAGACTCCTTCAAACTTATTAAGCAAAATTTTGGGGAAAAACCCCACGCCCCAAAAAAAAGCCCAAACCCCACACCCGGGGGCAACTTAACTTTTGCTATAAAAATGTTTTATACTTATAAACTTTATTAATAAGCGAAAAATGCCGTCTAACATAACGGAAAAATGCTGTCGCACCTGGCTATTATGATGTTGTTGTTATTCGCTGGTAAATTAAGAATAATTCATCCCAAATATCTTAGCCAAGTTTATATAAGTTAATACTTAGAATTTGCTAATGAAAATTTGTAAAAATGAAATGTAATTCGAAAAGAGCATTGTAAATCGTAAAAATACAAAATCCTTCACTCAACGGTAACACTAATATACTCCTAACAGTCAAGTTAATTACAGCGGTTTCTCTTTTTAAGCTTGTTGTGTTGTGGAATTGAACAACATAATGCACATCCACAAAATCTAAGGTAGAAATCTGTAATTTCATGGGCAACAGGCTAATTTTGTCATTAAAAAAAAACAAACACATTCATCTCTTTATGTTTGGTACTTACTCGTTCATCACAACTTACCTCTAATTTCCGTGCGGCTTTGGCTTTTCTAGTTAAGGCAGTTGCTTTTTGTACAAGCCCCGCTAGGGAGTCCAGAAAATGTAGAGCAGCCTTCAGTTGAGAATCGGTTAATACCCATAATAAGTCATCTAATATTATCACCAGTCTTGAACCCATTATAAAGCAATCTAATTAGAAAATTGAATTAACTCGAAAACAAAACATCTACACTTTTAAGCTATACCTGACAGTCTTTTTTTTATAGTTATTCTACATCTCGCTTGATTTGTTAGTAACCTAAGGGGAGTTAAGTTCTTATCTTTGGTCGATTTCGCTTCAATCCTAACCGTTTGCCACTCCAGCTCTTTAAAAATCAGTAGCTGACCCTTATCCGGTTCCTTCAGTCTCGTCATACGCAAGTCAGACCTCTCCCATCCGGGACTTTTTGATTCTAATATAATCCTCGAGACCTAACCAAAGCAATTATTGGCACATTTCTCTTGTAATGCAACCCTTACTTGTACGCTCGCCGTAAACGCTGGACTATTAAACGTTATGTTCACCGTATTGACGGTCACAGTAATTCCGTCTATCACCTTGTGAATAAAACTGTACTTCCCGGGGACGCCCGCATACGATGATAAGCCGGCTTGCGCCGACATTGGCCTGAGCTCCTCGCATGTCTCCGCTATGATATTAACCTCGTCCAAATTCTAAATGGAAACATATTGCACGTCGCGACAGAGGTGACTTAATTACTTACAAGGTGAATTGGTACACTCTTTAATTTCGTCCACTGTATCCTAAATGTTACTTTATTACACAGCGCCTTGGATAAGCGTAACCAACACGGCAGCTCCAACAGATCAGTAAGAACTATTTCGTTTAATTCGAGATTTGTCAATTCACCCTCCCCTTTAAAGGTGCTTAAGTTCACCTTATCGGCAGACAAATTCTTTGTAAATCTACGACGACAATTAAAGATAAACTAGTCAAATATTAGATGTATACAAACACAAACCTAGAGAGATGTTTTAAAAGTTGATTTTTTATTATGGACACCATATTTTCTACAACTACAGATCACGTGCGACTTTATTTGCTTTTTACATGACTAGAAAGTAACGTTTAATGTGAGTAATTAAATACATAGTTAAAAAAGTTGCTACAAGTACAAGATAAAAGTTTTTAGACTGACGATGACATTAGATTGACTTTTGACATTGCCATCTAAATCAGGCCTGCCAACCCCAAATTTTCTCATTGCTACCAACCTTGTACATTTTTGAATAATAGGTTTAAAAATTTTGAATTTTAAATTAAGAAACTCGCCATCATCAATTCAAATGAAGATTTAAGTGTTCGCAAAAAACATTCCAGGCTTTAACTTGTCCGTAAGGAATAGACTTACAATACATTTTTTTCAAATATTAGGACAAGGTTTAAGTAATGGCGCAAATTAAATATGAAACATTCCATGGTCCGTGGAAACATTCGGCAAAAATTTAGCACAAGCGCGTAACGTCTCCGTCTACATGATCACTCAACACGGACAGGAATGCATGGAATGCCTTTAACTGCGTCTCATTTGACCCATACATGTTACATACATGTTTTCACGCAATTGGTGATTAATGAAATTAATTTAATAGTTTACCTTTTATGCGTAACTAGAGACAGCCGTTTGTTTAAGAGTTTACAGAGTAATATTCGCTATTGACTAGTCAGTCACCTATCGGCTCAGTGCAAACCACAATAAGGCAGTCTAAAAATAACACGTAATGAAAACAATTGTAATTTGTAGAATCTGATAAGCCTGTATAATAGTCGCGGTTCATTTATTTATACTGATGTGGGCGATGGTAGCTGAGAAATGACTAAAGATTTTAAGTATTTATCCTTGTATAGACAACCAACATTCCATCTTGTGACGTGTTTATGGTTCTTCCCAATGAATAAAAAATACCTATTCATTGGTCCTTCCTATCCATGAATCAACGTATAATATTCTTCGTTGAAACCGAGTCATTTTCACTCATCGCTTCATTTATCAGACACCAATTTCAATGAATTTGTAAGCACACATCTTTTTAATTAACCACAATTTTTTGTTACAATCAAATCTTGAAGAAGAAGCTGATTAACCTATGTTTTTACTTATGCAATGATCCGACATTCTGCTGTACAATGGGTAGCGCCAAACATTCTTGAGCTGACAGGCGAGACGAGACCCAGAGATCGCAGCCCAACAACACTTTCACAGTTTCACCACACGACACATATTAGTCTTATTAGCCATGGAAAAACAAAACCTGAACTTTATGCCAGCTAGCTTTGCCACAATTGTCGCTCGTGTAACACGGTCAGAAATCACCAAAATCGAGTAGATACAGAGCTGTATCAAACTTCTTACTATAGAGTCGGCGTTTCTTCTCAAGAAACGGTTGGATGGAGTGTAAGGGGAAAATTCATCGTCTAAAGGTAAAAGTCTGTGGTAAAAGTAATAGCAGAAAAGTCCAGCTGGGTTTTTGACACAGCTGTCCGCCGTATCATCCACAACCATTTGTTCCCAAACAAATCTTGGCGATTCAGGGTCAGCGTCGGGTTGAACGCTTGATGTTTTTTGCTGGAAAATCTGTATAGCTCAACTAACTAGTGATAGTGGAAGTGCTCGAAAATTAAAACCTCTTTAATTAAATTCTCGGCTTCCGGTCATCATCAAAATCTTTCGCACTTCCAATAGTATTACTATATATATTTATTTATTTACGTATTTATTTATATGTTTTGTATCAATAAACATT